GGAGGACAGAGAAGAGCCAAGCAGCAGAGCTGGGGCTGCCATGAGTTCACAACATTAAACAAACTTTTCTCTGGAAGAGAATTAATAATGCAGCCATCCCCACTGTACGTACTGTAACTGCTGCAGAAGTGACACAATGAGGCACATGGGAGGCAAGAGGGTAGTGACTATAGAACAAAATTCAATCTAGTGGCTAATGAATAAAAAGTTCCTTTTATTTCTCAGTTGTTTTTGGTTCATTAAATTTTCCACAGATTTGCAGAGAAGAAAACGTGATCAATAAACCTTGACAAAAGTGAACATGTGAAAAAAGCGAGAGAAAGGCACAGGAAGATAAAAGTGATATCCCGATCACAGATTTCAGAGGCAGATGACCAGAGCTCTGGGCTGCTGAATAATCTGAATAGACCATCATTTCTTTACAGCCTTTTACTTTCTTTTCCCTGACTGTTGGAACTCTTCATTCAATACAATAGTAAATGCACTAAAACTTTTTTTCTTATGCTAATGGTTGAAATCGGGCGCTCACAGTTAAAACACACTTCCCACCAACTTGTTTTCTTTAAAAAAAAAAAAATTAACCTATTCAAGTTAAACTAAAATGTCAAAGACAGCTTAAGGCTTACTCTCACCATTCCTTAAAATTAATGGTTTTCTCCCCAGCAGATACAAAAAGAAAAGACTTGAATAAGGATAAAGCTGCTAGACTCTTTTCATATGAAAAAGAACACTTAGAAAGTAAAAAGAAATACATCCAGTACAAAGATCCTGGTACCTACAATTCTAATTTATATTGTTTCCTCTTAGAATATTTATAATTGCAGAAAGGTGACAGCCCGATCGCAAATAATTGTGAAACGATGAGAAAAGATTCACCACTGACTAATATATTTGGGCAGTTGTGCCCATGACAGTATCAGAAACGCTTCCACTCATTACAATGGGAGCCCAAGGGAGCCTATTTTCATTTTTTTTCTAATTTGGGTGTCCATTTCCAGGCACCAAGGCCTCTTTTTTCTGTGGTACTCAATATTCACAAATCCCAAACAATTTTCACAGCTCTAAACTTCTGAATTAAAGGACAACTTTCCTGCTCCCTTCATGCAACACATTTCAGCTTTAGTGTATTTGGGTTTATTTTGTTTACAGGAAGTTAAAGGGTATGGGGTGTGGTTTTACAGTAGTGAAGCATGAATGAAGCAAAGTTCTGTGGCCTCTCCTGGACTGTACACATCTAACATGTACTCACTCCCAACTGGAACTGGTCTGTAGAAAATTAGATCTGATTACCCACTCCACTCACTTGTTCAACAAGGGAAACCTGCAATTTTGCCTCTTGAACTATCAAGATTACCATGAAAGATCCAATGGGAATTACTTCTACATCAAACACCAGTTTGCCATATATGGCATCTGCTGTAAACACAGGTCGAGAACTGGGCATATTGCATGCATACACACAAATGTACGTACATATGCATAGATAGGCACAGGCAATCATGTACTGCTAACACAACATCTTCTTGCCCGTCACTCATACCAGGATTCATTCTTTGTTATTTTTATTTAGTGTTGTTTTAATTAATTCCCAAATACCTCCCGTTGTTTTGGTTTTCTTTAAAAGGGTCCTGGCAACAGAGCTGAAGCAAACCCTAAATACCACTTAATGCTTTGTGGCAAGTTGTCCAAATGTGCAACTGTTTAAAATATTTACCCAGGTATATAAGGGGGTTGTGCAGCTCTTGAACAATGCCCTGGAATCTTTCCCATCAGTAAAAAAGAGGACAAAAAGCAGAGACCGCTTAACCTCAATGCCTTAGCAGCAAGTGAGAAGTGCAAATATCGCATTTCTATAAAGCCCTGGAAGCTTCATAGAAATAGAGTGGCAACTAATTAGTTTGATGCTATAGTCACATCTAATGTTCCTAAGTAGCTTCTTTGAAAAAACTCACTGCCTTGAAATCCTTGGCCAGATTATTAAGTGGAGGCTTTGTGATGGGGCAATAGATAGGTGTTTGCTGCACAAATATATACAGATTTTGGTGACTGCTTACTGAATCCACTGCCTTCACTAATCTGCACTGGAAACTTCACTATGAACAGAGCACTTCTCAGAGTACAAAAGCATGAAGTATCTGTGTACCTTTCAGACTACAGGGCAAACAACTGGCTTACAGTAGGCCACTGAAAACAGGGGGAGGCAGTTAACCAAGTGTCCTCCGTACTGAGAAGCAGAAAATGAGGATAATGCAGTTTCTATTAGGTCAGATGCTCTACCATATCCTTAAATAAAAAAGATGGGGCCAGAGGACTGGAAAACTCACTAGAAAAATTCAAACTCTCTCAATAGTAATAAAGTTTCGGGATCATGAAAAATGTATTTTCAAGTCATTCAACGCTGCAGCGATCACATAACTCTTTCCATATACAGCTGATCACATAGAGAGCCTGTACAGCTTCTATACAACTGTGCTACTGAAAGGGAACTTGTGGTATAAACCTGTAAGATCATCAGAATAGCAGAAAGTATAGTCAAAAATGGTTCTTTGACATAAAAGTTTAAACTGGTTTTCAAAACAATGACAAAAATCCTGGTCATTATATATAAGCAGCCAAAAGGCTCTCTTTTCTAAATGTGACTTCAGTGTTCAGTGTGACATTTGGGAACGCAGGCTGCTACGCATTGGATATCTGAGGTCAAGTTCTGCTCTCTTTTATCCAAGTATAACCTGGAGCAGCTTCAGTGAAATGATGCTAGATTTATACTGACATATGCATCTAGTTCAAATTCTTCAATGGCTCTAATTTTCTTTAATTGAATGACCTAACACAAATAGTATTTGTCCATCTGTATACATCCTCTTTGACACACTGAAAAAAAAAAGAAAAGACATTGAAAGGAAGTTGGAAACAGTCCTCGATATCTGTTTTCCTTTGAAGAACAGCAGTTGCATTTCTGGGCACTTCAAAGTCACATACTTTAAGCAATAACATTCAAGATCAAGTGAATCTTACCTCACCTTGCTTTTAAGATCAGCTCTTTCACAAACACACACCAGAGACTAGATATACACATACTCATAGATTAACAAGTTCATCTTCAGTGAATCAGGCACTTTTCAGTGCTACAGACAGGTCACGCTTTCAATCAAATGACAAATTTCCAAGAGTTGTTTACAGTGGAAAAGCCATAATGAATTTCATTCACTTCTTAAAAGTTGTCAGTTTTGCAATAACATTCAATATGACATTTTCATTGCAATTCAAAGTTTGACAGGTGTCAACATTTCCTCAAGTTCCAGCCAAAATACAAATTACCATATCCGCCCATCAGAAAAGTTGAACCAAACCAATTCACCAACTGTAGTTCATGTATGCAGCAATTCTGTATTTCGAATAGCCCAGGAACATAAATAATTGTTTAATTATTTAGCAGGATCCTCTTTTCCAGGTGAATGTAGTTTATTTTCTAGTGAAGTATATTAGGTTTAGAACAAAAAAACAAAAAAGAAGCCAAAAAAACCCTCAACCTCCCCCCCAAAAAACCTTGAAATCTCAAAAGCTTTTCTTAAAGCAAGGCAGCTAGAACAAACAGATCAAATCAGCAGGTCTTGTAACAAATCAGTCTATCCCACTTCTGTGTATTTTGAATTTCATGGCTTATTTGCTTTACTTTTTTGGCATCAACTCCACAGTGCAATGCCAATACAATATTTGTTTAAATGCCGTTTTATGCACATGCTAGTCAAACGCTTACTTTCAAATTCTTGTACATCCCAAGAGCCTCAGTTGCAAAATAATAAAAAAAAAAATTTAGAAAAGAAAGTGAAGGGGATTGGCAGGGGGTGGACAAGTTTTTACAACTAGTCCCTCTACCTGTGGCTCTAAAAATATAAGCACGATGCGCCAATAAAATGCTAATTTCTATACGCACAAAGTTTTCCAGCACCTGAAGCAGTACGAGAAGCGAGGGTTCTGCCCTAGGCAGACACAAGTTTCGCTGGCTCAGCCGGCGGTGCCCCCCCACCCCCACCAGGACATTTGCTCACTCGGGACACGCACCGGGAGGCCGAGCCCGGTGCCCTCCCGTGTCCCGGGCCCGCGCAGGGGACATCGCTGCGCGCACCGCAACCGCGCCGAAGCCCCGGCCCGGGAAGTTTTGAAGCCCAGGTTAACTAGATGAATAAATAAATAAATAAATAAATAGCCCGTAAACAACGGAAAAGCCGGCAGCAGGACCACCGATAAATCATCCTAAACCTTCGCGCGGGAAAAGTCAGGTTTCCCAGGAAATGATGGCAATCACTTGAGGCAGAAAAGGCATCTAGATGAGCCCATCTCCCTCCCCTCCTCCCTGATTGTTTTAAAGCCACCGAGTCCAGAGGAAAAACTCTCAACTCTCTAAGTCCTTAATAGGATTGGAGTCCGGGTCTCTCCAAGCCGCTCCTCATCACGCAGGGATCAAGTTGCAGCAGAGAATTTTTTAAATTCCTCAGCAAATATACTTGTCGAAAGATTGCCCCTCCCGGGGGGGAATGACAAGAAGGAGAGAGGGTAACTTAATTTTTCTTTTTTTTTTTTTAAAAAAGGCAAACTCACTGCTGGCTTTGGGGAGCCCTGCTGTCCTCCGGGACCCAGGGCAAGGTGGTCCCGGCAGCGGCCCGCGGCTGGGACTGTCACCGCAGCCCCCGGGAAAAACAATGGCCATGGAGGCACACTCCCAGAGGGGTCTGGACGGGGAAAGGGGGGCGCACACCGGACACACGCGCGGCCGCATCCTCCCCGCTCACCTGCGAGATGGGGGGGGAATACACGGGACGGGCCCCCCTCGGGCACCCGCTGCGAGGAGAGACCCTCACCAAATTTGTAGCCCCCCTCACCGTCCCCCCTCTGGCCCCCCCTCCCGCGCAAGGCAGCTCCGACAAAAGCGGTAGAAGAGAGGGGAAAAAAAAAAAAGAATAAAAAGCACAATGAAAAGACACAATAAGCAGCAACTTTACCCGAAAAGCGGAGCAGCAAGTTTTCAGCAGGCGAGCGGTTGCCGCGGAGCAGCGCTGCTCCTCCGGACCCCCATCATAAACTTGGGGGAGGGGGGCGTGGGAGGGACCTTCCCTCCGTCCTTCCCTTTTGTGCCTCTCCCCCCCGGGCTCCGCTCTGCTCCTCGCCAAAAGCTGCCGCGGATGCCGGCGGCGGCGGCGTTTTCTCCGCTGCTGCCGCGGAGAAGCTCCGCGGAGGCGGGCGGGGAGGGAGGGCTGGGGAGGGCCGGGGGCGGTGTGGAGAGGTGCGGGGCGCTGCGGGGCGGCTCCTACAGCCCATCAGCCCGGGCCGCCCGCGGGACACGGTGCGCACACGTATACGTACTTTATATATATATACATATATATACACACACATGCATACACACGGGATGAAGTTGAGCAGCCTGCAGGAAGACGCTGGAGCGCTTTCAAGCCCTGACATAAGAGGACAACTGGCTGCAGGGTCTGTTTTCCCCCCTGCCCTTTAAGAAAAAAAGGGGAAATCTAAGCCTTCCCATCCTTTAGGCGCGGGAGCAGCTCACCGCTCCGGATTCTCTCTCTCTCTCTCCTCCCCCCAGCCTCTTTCATCCCGGATCGCCCCCTCGCTTCGGCGAACCGCACCATTTTGGGTGTGGGGCTTTCTGGCGGGCGCGGTGGGATCCGCTCCGCCGCCCCGGCCCCGCCGTTCCACCCGGGAGCGGGCCGGCAGCCGACAGCCCCTCCGCACTCCGCTCAGCTGGAGCGCATCTGCAGCGAACCCACACAAATCCCCCTTCCTCGGGGAAAGCCGCCCTCTTCCTCCCCGAACAGCAGAAGTTCGGCCTGTGCGGATTCGCCCGCGCAGAGGCGGGGATGGAGCTGGGGGTGGTTTTCGTCCAACTTTGGTGGTTATTTTCCTTTTTCCCCGGGAGTTTGCGCGACTTTTCAAGCCCCCGCCCCGGCAGGGCTGGGGGCAGCAGAGCTCCGCGGAACATCCTCGTACCGCGGCCATATCCCTGCGGGAGCCAGCGCCCGCACACGGGCGGCTTTACCCGCCAGGAACATCTTTGGGGGGAAAGCATTCATTAAAGACTGTTCCCAAAACACGATAAGCGACCTCACCGGAGCACGATAATGTAGATTAATCCTCGTGGTTTGGGACCGAGGCTACGAGGAGGGGAACAAGAATCTCCAAGAAATGCCCCGCTCCCACCCCAAGTAGTTTTGTTTTTGCACTGATCTGGTGCATTAACAGTAGCACCAATGAGAAACGCAGCATTTTGAACTTGGGCTTCGGCCAAGCTGGGCTTGTTTTTCGATTTGTTTTGGTTTCTTTGACTATGGAATTTAACAAAAGTTTAAAACACAACCAGATGTTGTTGGGAAGGGTCACCGCGCTGTACCCCAGAGCAAGCTCAAACTCGCCGTATCATCAGGGTATCTGACTCCGGCAGGATTATGGCCAGTACCATGGCAACCGCATGCCACATCAGCCCCCAGCTTCACTTTCAGTCCCTTGGGCAGTGTTAACATTTGCCAGTGGATTTGCCCGACACGCAGCCCAGGTCCGGGCAAGTGGAAGATGAGCATAAACCACTCAGAAACCTTTCTCTTCTAGCCTCTGCAAAGCAACCTGGCTGGACCACTCCATACTAAAATTTTAATCCTAAAACCTGCTACCAATTTGTCTGAAAATTTGCACACGTTCTTTTTTCCTTTTTTTTGGATGGCATTAGAAGGCTGACATTTGAGGGTGACAACTAGCTCCTCACGCACCCTCAAATCCCATTTATTCCATTCAGATAGCTTGGGGAGGACTGCGACGCAACAAGTTGTTTTGCTGACCACCAACACTGGAATGTTTTTTTGGTCAAAGTCTAGCATTACTGTGCACCCACTCTCTCATCCAAAAAAATCCCTTTTCCTCTCCATGGCACACATGCACTCCGTGCTGGCACAGCAGCACAACCTTACCCCATGGAAGTGGATAATTCTGTGCTGAGAGGAATTTCATTGCACCTACTACTGACCATGCAAAGGAAAGGGGGCTTTGGTTACCAAAAGTAGGAACAAAACAAGTCTTTGATCTCCAAAAACACAAAGCCTGCTTTTATTCCCAGGTTACTTTACTGGGGAAAGATGACCTGGCAGCTTGGGAGATGGGTTAGAATAAGAGGTTTATGGATGGATCAAAAAGAGAAGCTGGCAAAAAATTAACACTAGATATGTTCTAAATTCCTGCTGCACAGTTACAAACACATGTACAATCCAGACTGTTGGCTAAGAACATATTTAAAATCAAAAGAAGGAAGCATTAAAGGATCAACTCAGAGTTAGGTGAAGAAGGACAGTTTTCCCTTCTAGAATTCACACATGTCAATCCTTTAGAAGATGGAGATTTTTAAGCCTGAATGGAAACTCCTCCTTTTTGTCTGAAGGATGACGGCTGGTGACGGCTGGAGTTTTTTAAAAACTTTGAGTTGGCTTTTACATTATCTGCCTGCTGTAGCTCATCTATCCTTCCCTCTCCTGCTCTGCTCATTGAACTGCCCTCTCTTAATCTTCCATAGGTGTCTGAGATTAAATAGACGACAGAATGACTGACATTTGGTATACATAAAAGAACCAAAATATGAACAAGGGGTCAAAGTGCAAATCTTCCCTCTGGTCTTCCCTCCTGCTCTTGTACAACTTGATAGGGATGAAACCAAGTAGGGATATAAAGATATATGACAACGTGCACTGACTATACCTTGTAGTAGCATGAACATGGGGATATAGAAGATACATTCCAAAATGTGCAGGACTAAGGAAAGAGGGTTTTTTAATCACAATTTTAGAAAAAAAGCTCTCACAATGATAAAAGAGTGACATATCACCAGGTCCAGGATTGCTAGATCCAGGTCTGGGATCTGTCCCACTTCTGTTAGGTCAATGGAAAAAATCTGGAAGTTAGACTAGCCTCAAAAGGCACAAATGTGGCTGTTAAAATGTTTTATACAGTTCTGAAAGAGAGCTGTAATTTTTTATTAAAGTGCGTCTTTAAAGAAAATTGTTGAAAAACCAATGGGGGATGCTCCATTCTGTTCTGTTCATGTCTATAGGATTTATTTCTATAAATCTTCATAGATCCTTATGATAAATTAAAAGGCCCATTTGAATATTCCAAAGGATACTCACAGGTAAAAGCTACCAGAAAAAAAAAATCACATTTAAATATGTTTCTCTTTTTGAATGTAGAAAATAATTACATGTGGGATGATCACTAGGAGATAGAGGCCTAAAACCATGTTTCACGCAACTCATATCTTTATGATGTCTGGTTTAAGTCCAAGTGGGAAGTAACACATGAGCAGTTCTGCCCTGATTTAAACAGCTGTACCAGCCCTGGGGTCAATGAAGTTGCACTGAACCTGAATGCAACTTGTATCTATTGAATATAATTAATCACAATGATATTTAATGAATTAATAATGTCATGTGCAATGCTGGCTCAGAATTTTACTAGGAGAATGGGAAAGATTTTTTGGCACAGTACATTACCTTCTTTTTTTTAAAGTCGCCCTGTTACCTGAGGGAAATCGTAACTGTGGGTAGACAGTGAGACAATACTCATGGGGATGATATGCAGCTCTGATTCCTATCTCCCTCCATGTATGTGTTGTTTCTTGTTTAAAGCTTCAGTGTTAAGTTTCTCAAGGCAGGTGCCATCTTCCTGCATTCTACATTTTGATTAAACCTTATTTTATTTTTCCTCTCTCCAAAGAGTAACTTCAATGCTAATTTCCTGATAGTTGCTGTGTTTTTTTGTTTTGTTTTTTTTTTGGTTGTTGTTGCACTGGAAGGATCCATTCTTGCCAGGTTTAATCTATATTGGATCATGAATATTTAGTTAATACCATAAACTCCTCAAAGGTTTTTCCATTATTACAAAAGAATATTTCCATGCTACATCAGCAAAAGAGGCAGTACTCTAATTTACTGCAAAACTGGCCTGGAAACCTGCCTCTCATTTCAGAGAGCATGCAAGATCTTATTCAACTTTAAACACAAATTGAAATGCCCTGCTAAAACAAGACCTTATACACACAACTACATACACTGAAATTACTGCTCGTAAAATGATAAGCAAACCATTTGAACGGGCATTCGCCATGAACTAAGGATATACATGCCATCCATTACCTGTCTTAGCAGAAGGACAGAAGCTTCTTCAAAATGCACAGAGCCCGTCATGTCTGCACAGTTTTCAGGAAGTGTCACACTTGTGGCTACTCTTGCCAGACCCAGTCTGATGTTGGACGGTCAGAGGTCCCTTCTCCCACTCAGGTCTGAAACAGAAAACACAGTTTGCTCTAAGAGTAGCAACTCCAAGCTCAAACACCCAAATTACAGAAAGTTCAATGTGAAAAGCTCGGAGATGTGTTATGTCTCTTACAGTGTTCCCAGTTGTAGAAAAGCAGCAGTACATCATGCTTATGTGGAGAAAGGAAAACAAATGACACTGCAGAAGCATTGCTCTTTGGCATGGATGTGAAAACAAAATGTGCAGCTTCTGAGGGATGGTCTTTTCTCATGAGACTTTGCAGTTTCCAATTCTTTATTTTTCTTCTCCCTGCCCTTCTAACTGCAGCCCCCTCTGCCAGCCAGGAGATAGGCCACAGGGCTCTGCTTGCCTGGGAGTTTGAAAAAGGAGGGCTCCTTCTGGGTTTCATCTGTCCCCAGCAAAATGCTTGATTTGATGAGGAGGTAGATAACAGTTTTCTTGCCCAGGGTAGATTTGGTTACTCGAAGTCTGTTGTCTCCTTAGAGGGAGGAGAAGGGAGCAAGGAGTGGGATGCACATAATACTAACTGGGATACCTGTAAGTGGCATTGTGTGAAGAACTGCAAACAACTGGAGCTGGCAACATACAGAAAGCAAAACTCGGCCATTGATATGAAGTTAATGAGATTTGTTGGAAGCTATGTTTATATTTCATGAGGGAAAACTAAGGAGAAGACTTTTCATTCTACTCCAGGAAGAGAAAATTTGTTAGGTTTTGCAGAAAAATAGAAATCCCTGTCAGTACAAAGAGTATAATC